TTACAGACTGAGCCTAGTCAGCTTTCCTTGCACAGTCAGCTTTCCTAGCACAGTCAGCTTTCCTTGCACAGTCAACTTATCCTGATCAGATCTTAGCCGTTCCCTCAAGTGCAGTGTGACCGTCGATTCACTAACCATAGAGTAATTCGATTGACCGAATTCCTAACCGAATTCTAACACGTCCAACCTGAAGGAGGCTCCGGGACCGTCGATGGACGCCGAGGCCATCCGGAGCCCCTCAAAGCTAACCTGGTGCGTGACGCCGAGAGCGTTGGCAAAGTGGTTGGCCAGCAGGAGCTTGTGCGAGATTAGGTTCGCTCCTGAGAAGTTGAAGATCCCGTGCTCGAGGCCGTCGTATGACAGCGAGCAGCACGAGGCCACTCTTGCGGCGCTCTGGCACACTCGTCTGTGCACGACAACCGAATGGCTCCCTTCGGCCGTCGTGACGGTCCCCTGCCGGCTGTCGAGGACCCACGGCCTCCCGCATGGCGCCAATCGAGAGACCGGCCTCGGCGCGCAGAACAGCCCCTGATCGCTGGGATGTTTGAAACCGAGGTCGCCCCATGCACCGCAGGGGTCAACCAATTGTCTCCCACCGTGGGCCAGCACCGTATCAACGGGTTTGTGCGAGTGGCCCAAGTCGAGAGCGTTTGCCGGTGGACACTCCCAGTCCTCGAGTGAGTCGCGGTGTGTGCAGGGCAAATCTGCTGAAGCCGCCGGTCCCCGACAGAAGGGGTCATTGCAGACTTTGACACGCCACTCTTGAGTTGAGAGACCCGTTGAGAGACACGCTCCCTCCGGCAACTATGAAGCTCCTCAAACGCCTCCGGTTTAACATGCGCTTCCAGAATCGTTGGCTTCTGCTCCTCCAAGCCGTTGCCAATCAACTGGGCTGCAGCGCGCACATGACCGCACATTTGATCCCTTCCGCAGGCGTCGCACACCCAAGCCCCGGATTCCTCCCTGAGAATGCAGATCGCGGGCCCTGTTTCCGTCACGGCGACGACCGTTCTGAGGCAGGGCCCCCGCCAAGCCGCTGCATCGGCACCGAGAAGCCTCGCTCCCAGCTGCCCCCCCGACAACGGAATCCTTCCAGCCCTTTCGCCGGCCGTCACCTCGAAAGCCCGCCCAACGACCCGTTCGTTCAGGTACGGCCCCACATAAGCCCCGGGCCCGTCCAGAAGCGGCCCCCACCAGCTCGCCGGTTCCTGAACCTCTGCGAGAAAGGAGAGTCCCTGCTCTTTGCACGTCTTTGCGCCGCACTGGCACCTAAAGGAACCGGTATGGTCGATAGCCACGAGCCTCGGCAGGTTGATGAGGGCCCCCTTGCGATCGATGGCAATCTCTAGAGGATCTCCGTCTTTTGTCGTGCTGGGCAGCACAAAGAGGCCCGTCGTGATTGCCGTAGGCAGCAGGACGCCTTGCTGAAGCCGCTCCAGTAGTCTATCCACCTGCACGATTATGGGGGGGGAGGGGAATCAGTCATGCAATCAATCCTAACGAACTTCGTCTTTCTGTACACCTCAAGAGCTTGGTTACAGAACATCAGTGCTCATAGAAGCCAGAGCCGGGCAAATTGAACGGCGAAGTTGCAACACGGCTGCCACGTGAATCGTAAAGGGTAATGTGGTTATCCGTACCTTTGGCTTTTCCGGTGCCTTTATGGCAGAAGCAAGGACCGTCCCCCATGCCCGCTTCACCCCAGCACTGGAGTTGGCTCCCTCCAAAATGAGAGGCCGCTTTGCGCCTGAAGTCCGCTTCGCTACCTGGAGCCCTCGCCCCGAGCAACGCCAGCAGAGGAAGCCCCGATGTTGCACCCAAAAGTCAAACCCCGCCTCAGACCCTTCCGGCACCTCCCGTTCGGTTTGCAGCGCATCGGTACTGCTTTGTCGAACGACTTCCGCGTCTGGAAAGACCGTGCATTTGGTGAAGAGCCCTTCCCAGCTTACGGGCGTTCCGTCCGATTGATCCACCAACGTGTTGCCCGCTTCATACTGGGTCTTGGCACATCTCAAGCAGTAGAGATGCGAGCGACTGCCCGGTTTGCCAGGGCAGATGAGAGCCCCTCCTCTGCTCCTGTCCCGCGACCAAATGAATGGCGGAGTCTTCCTAGAGTAGACCTCCGTTTTGCCCCGGCAGATCACCCCGTCGCAGATGACAGGAAAGCCCGACTTCGTGAAGGCATTCTGCCGGTGCAGGCAAAAAGCGTAGCCGTAGTCGAAGCGGAATTCATCGTCATGGGCGACGGCGCTCCTTCTCCCACGAACGGTCTCTCGAGGGGGAGGCGGCAGGGCGGCTGGGACGGTGGCCAGATCTTCGAAGGAGAGTTCCGGGGCAGCCACCGTGGAAACCAAGCTCCAAGCTCGAATGCTCTTGCCATCTCGAACGGTCTGGTGAAGCGAGGAGCACAGAGAAGGCTGCGTGTGACGCAGCACGGTCACGTTGCTTCGTGTCTCGTGGGGTACGGCGCTTGCAACGATGGCTACTCGAGAAGGTGACCGCCGATGTTCCATGACCGCTGCACAGGACCAAAGCTACTTCAGCTGAAGGATCATAAGTCTCTAAGTGTCCCTCTCTAGAGTTCACCTGAGTTTGTGGAGATCTGCACATTCACAAAGGCGCAAGTTTCTAAGCGTGCGTCCTCTCGAAGATGGCATCAAGGAAGCAGACGCACGCCGTTGAGACTTGGGACCACACTTTGCATGAAGCTCTCCACTCTGTTCTAAAGAATCAATGACAAGGTGTGGTCCCCTCTGAGACGGCCATCCCTTCCAAAATTCTGAGGATGTTGTAGTTGATGGCGCCTGGGTCCACACTTTGTAGGTAACCCTGGTCTTGGTGCTTAATACTAATGACAAGGTGTGGTCCCATCTGAGACGGCCATCTGCAGCACATGTACAGGCTCTATGGGTAATGATTGCAACTCACCTCAGTTGACAAGCTTTCAAGAGTACCTGATACCGTGGGTGCCGTTGAGCTCTTCCTACTCGAGGCGATCCTCTTCCGACTCGCGACCTCCTGCATGGTTCCAAGGACCACGAAGTTTCAGGCCTCGCTCGATCCACACTAACTTAGGGAAAGGTCTCGGCGCCATAAGGGCTTCATAACCATGGGCTACGACACCAAGTTCATGGGCCGCTTTGCCCTTTCCAGACCCCTGACCGCCAAGGAGAGCGCAATCTTGGAAGCAGTGCACGACCATCGCCACCAGGACGACCTGGAGCTACCTTATCCCGCTGTCGAAGAGCAGCCGGTCACAATCGAGCGGGATGTAATCAAGCCCCTGTACGTCGGCGAGGGGTTCGACTACCTCTCGGAGAAGTTTCCCTCCTTCTACTGCCAGTGGACGCTCTCACCCAACAAGCGCGCTCTCATGTGGGACAAGGGGGAGAAGTTCTACAACTACGTGAGCTGGTTAGAGTACCTCATCTCGCACTGTTTTGCCGTTTGGGGCGTGGAGCTATCCGGGACCGTCAAGTGGAAGGGGGCTGGTCGGGGCGACAGGGTTTCGATCACCGTCGAGAGCAACCGCATTATCGTCAGCATGGCCCGGTAGAAGGCTGAGGCTACTACTCACCGTAGATTGTGCACTGGCAGTGACCAGCAGAAGGGAGATTGGCATCAAGACGCGGGCCGCCAGAGGGAGCCCCCACGTTCTGCAGGACAGTCGAACTTGTGAGAAGTTTTGGAACAATCTGCGCGCAGACCAGGAGTAGATGACTTTGAAGCTTGGTTTTAATAATTATCGACGTGGTGTGGTCCCATCTGAGACGGCCATCCCACCCAAAATCCGGAAGATGTTGTAGTTGATGGCGCATGGGACCACTGGCACCTTGTACATGGTTCCAGGCTCTGATCTAAAGAAGAATTGTCAACGTGTGGTCCCAGCTGAGACGGCCATTCCACCCGTTTTGTGAAGATGTTTATAGTTGATGGCGCCTACCTGGGACCACACCTTGTACATGGTTCCAGGCTCTGGTCTTAAGAAGAATTGTCAATGTGTGGTCCACGAAACCCCCTGCCTGCCATTCCCTTTATATCGTGTGACCAGGACTCAGTCTGAGACCAGGATTCTCAGACGCTTGCACTAACCTGTTCAGGACGCTGTTGAAGTGATCCCGTCAATCATAGGTGTCTCCTGCGCAGGATCCGGGTGCGAATTGGCATATCATGTCAACGGCAACGCGCTTGGGCCGGGCTGGCAACGATATGTAGCGCCGGGGTAGCGCCGGCGAGTCATGTGGCCCGCGTTGCATTAGAGCCGCGGCGCTTTGTGTTCTGGCAACTGAAGTGCTGCATTCAAGAAAGTTCTACTGGCAGTGACTGCTACGCCTCAGACTGAGCACTGAGCTGACTCAACTAGCGCACTCTGTGCTAGACTTGGGCGTTCGACGCCCACTTCTAGACGTGACAGACTGACAAGACTGACATATGACGGTCTGAGAGTCTGACGGGTCGAAGACGGACGGTCTGAGCGCGTATGGTTTCTAGTTCCAGCGATCGGCGGATCCTCTGGACGTAGAGGACGTCCGAGGCCAATTCCGCGGCATTTGGTCATCGCGTCAACTGCACCAGTGACCGTGAAGCGGGCGGCCGCGCGCGGTAGCTCCCGGCCGGGCCGGGTTTAACAGCCGACTTTGAAGCACATCTGACCGTCCGTTCGCAGACAATGAAAGCATCGGCGGCTCGGCGACGAACTACCAAGTCAGGATGCTCGCGCGAAACATAGTTGCGGAATTCGGTCACAGGATTGTGAGCCTTCGAAATGCACCGTGAGCCCGGCCCTAGCTGGGCCTGGGCCTTCCTAAGCTAAGCCACAGCCAGCTTAGCTGGCCTTTGCCACTTATGATTGGCCGCTGCTGGCGCCTGCAGATTACCGAATTGGAATGGAGCTTAGGTACTTACAGTAGGTAGTCTGTGGATTGCACATTTGCGGAAGCTGTGAAGCTGATCTGATACCGGATTTGAAGCTCGGAAGCTCGGAGTCAAAGCAACGTCAGCGTTTCTGAAGCCGGCCAAGGCACGCGTACGGACAATGAGTCTCAGCACCTCCACTCCAAAATGAGCTAGGGATCTGCACGAGTAACGCCCGGCTATTATCATGTCTATGATGCGCACAGCTCTTCTTCCCAAGGGTTTCTATTCAAAACTGAAAGGAGGTCTGCTGATGGCATTGATAGCCCCCTGACAGCTGGCTGAAGATGCGCAGCTGCAAGGCAGGTGCTGGGATCTCGACCTTAGCTGATCGACCTGAACCTTGCGAATTGGAATAGTGCCACGTGCATTGAGGAGCAAGTGGAGTTCACTAGCCTGCTCTGACGTTGTTGCGCATTTGCGCGAGCAGCTGGTCTATCGTTCTGACCCCAAGCAAAGCTGCAACGCATAAGAGGATTGAAGCTGGAATTAAGGGAGAAGAAGGAAAGAGTTTGAGCTCATGGATTACTACAGGGCCCTGGGCTTGACCAAAGCCTGTTCGAAGGACGACATTAAGGACTCGTAAGTCCCTATCACAAACAGACCGCTAAAGGCCCAATCATAGATCCACGATTCTTGAGCTTCAGAATGCACCAATAGCAAAGAGAAATGTCTCAAGGCTCCTAGCTGAAGACCTCGGAAAGACGCAGGCTGAGCCTTCTTTGACCTCCTCTACAAAAGGCAAATGGAAAGATTAGTGCTCGTGACCATCTGAAGGCCAGATACTACACTCACGCTAAGTGAGCCAAGGTCTGAGAGGCGCTGTGATGCTTTTCTCTGACATACTTGCACAGGTCTCTGCCGATCGGAATGTTGATCTCCTGTTTCTTTCCTTCCTTTGCAGCTTTCGGCGGCTTGCTCTTGCCAATCACCCTGACAAGAATGTGGGGAGCAGGGAGCATGCTTCGAAGTACATGCAAGCATGCGAGGCATATGAAGTCCTCAGCAATGGTTTGGGATTCAGCTCGTTCCCAGCACTGTGCCCCCCTACTTGAAAGATCACGGAAACTTCATTGACGAGTGTGCATCGTGCAGCTCTGCCCTCCAGCATGCAGATTGAGTCAATCCAGACTATTGCTTGCTTTCAACCAGCCTGCCCTTGCGAGTAACTACAAGATAAGCTGGGATTTCAGGGCGTTCCTAACCCATCCCCATTTGTAGTCTTAATCTATAAAGGACCCTGGATATGGCCAAATAGGCATCAACATTCCTCAGAGATACGAGAAATTATGATGAAATCTTAGGCTGTGCGGAGACCTACGACCGAGTTTTAAATAGAACCTCTCTTTCGTGGCCAACTATATCAGACTGGTGCGCGAAATAGCGCTTGGTACTCATTGCGACGATCCCAACGGAAATGCGTCTACGATATGAGCGCCAGTCTCAGCGTCAGCAAAGTAGATCGACTGTGACTTTATTGCACCTGCCGAATGCTAATGAGAAGTATGGCGCTTTGCAGCAAGGACAAGAGCCATCTATGACAAGTATGGAGAAAGGGGCCTGAAAAGCGGGGTGCCGGAGAGCGATGCAGGTGAGGAGAACATAATGCCGCCTACTCTGCGCTGATGCATGTAAACGGTCCTGAAAGACTTTGAATAGTGCAATCTCCGGATACATGAACCAAAGGCTTCAAGCAGACAGCAGGCTTTGTGTGCGGCAGAGCTTTCAGTATCTTCTTTTGGGTTGTGCACATGTAGATATCGTGTTTTGATTTGGAATTCTATTGGGAGGGCTCCGACATGCGAGAGCTTTCGTGGAGCTGTCCATTCCCCCTCCACTCGCAGAAAGCTCCTCTTCCGACAGACTTTCATTGCCAACGAAATTAAGGAAAGCGAGGACATCCTACCGAACCTTTCGTCCTTTTGCAGAGTTGCAAGGCCCGCCCTATTCTTGGTCCGACTCCCGCGCGGACCAGATCTTCTCCACCTTCTTCGGGACCAGCAATCCGTTCCAGGCTCTCACCGATTTGGGCCACAAGTTTTCCAAGCTGGCGGTTGCGGCTGGGCCGCGACCCAGCAGCGCGGAACAGGCGCGGCCGCTCGAGTGCACGCTCGAGGAGATCTTTGCCGGGTGCAAGAAGACGGTCCGGCACAGGAGAGAGGTGAGCTTTGGCACTTCCAAAAGGTGGACTTAGACCTGTGATGTCGTGCATCGAAAAGCTTCGAGGGTTTGAAGCGTCTTGATCTGGGTTCTCGTGCGTCAAAAGATTGTAAAGAGGTGCATCATGAAAGTTCACATTCGCTCTCCTTATTGTCCATTGGCTTACTGTCACCCTTCCTAGGCGTCTCCCGCAATCTCAAACGAACGTAATGAAAATGAGCTGTCGAGATGAGGTTATCACAGCGGCTTCGTATTAATTGCAGATCAGGAAAGCTGACGGCAGCGTCGAGGAGCGGTTCGTCAATCTGACGATTATCGTCAAACCCGGCACAAAAAGTGGGACCAAGTTCGCCTTCCCCAAGCAAGGCGACGAAGTACCGGACGCTGAACCAGGTAAGGAGCACAAGTCCAGCTGTCCTTTCCTGAAAGGGGAGACTAGGTAGACGCAGATCGTCAAGAAGATCGCGGCCGTACGCACCACAAAGTGGGCGATGCTGAGTGTTGCCGTCCTCAACGAATTTATACGGGGCATGCCAGATTTTAAGTTCCGAAATTTCTGTGACAGCGGTGCGAATATAGTGGCAATCTGTTGCAAATTCCGCAGAGAACATTCCTGCCAAGTAAGCAAAGCCTTTGCTACGCGCCTTGAGAGAACGTTCAATCCGTTCTGTGTTCCTCGATGTGCCTCCCTTCCTTTGTCTCCCAGGGCTCAAACTCTTTGATCTGTTAAGAGCGCTTCCTGGACTCGGCCTTCTTTTGTCAAAAAATGTCAGACTACGGCTCAACTTTCCCGTGCATTTCGTTGCAGCCACTGCAGTTTACGTCCTGACGGAGGCGAAGCACCCCACGCTTCGGCGCGACGGTCACGACTTGGTCTACAAGGCCCTCATCCCCCTCATGCAAGCGCTCAGCGGCACGACCGTCGACGTGGTGAGTAAAAGTCCTACCCATGCGGAACATGCAGGCTTGCGCCAACAAGTTGGTGTCGGGGCAGTCTTCTGAGTAGTTAACAGAGTTGCTGCTATTTCTGGACCAGTGTTAGAGGTGAGGTCCAGGGCCACAGATGACAGTACCATTTCAAGTCCGCTTGTTTGACCTCGGAGCGTGCAATGGATGTTATGTAATGAGAAACGGCTTCAAAATCTCCTGAGATTCGATTCGACAAGGAATCAGCAGCTTCCTAAAAGCTCCGCTTGAGAATGAAGCGCCGACGTGTTTATGCTCGCAGAAAACCTTGGACGGAAGGACGCTCAAATGCCACGTACCAGAGGTTATCAAGTGAGTGCTTAACCCTTTGGGTTAGAGATTACATCAAAGGGCTCAGGTCGTGAGGTGCTGTAAACAGAAGGTTATTTCTGCGACTTCTAGAATCTAAGTCAAAGAGAAAGGCGCAGACACGCCCTGGCATGTGCAAGCTCGTTTGCGCCATCGATGAGATTTCAGAAACTATCAACGCGCCCCGTCACCATGACGGCCTGTCTTGATGATTACCTCTTTCCGGCCATCCACATTCGTTTCCGAACGGCGTTCTCGGTTCTGCAGGCCCGGCCACTGCAAACGCATAAAGAAGGAGGGCATGCCGATCCCAGACATCGACAGCGAGGCCACGGTCGGGGACTTGCGGGTGGAGTTCAGCATTCTGTTCCCGCAGCACTTGTCAGACACGCAGAAGAAGCTCATAAAGTCGGGGCTGTACTATCCGTCCAAACCGTCCGCAGAGCAGCAGGCGGCAGTCCGGACATACCTGGCCGCGTTCACGCACGACGCGCATGGCTGGTCCACCAGCTTCAGCTGACGACCTTGATCACGCGAGCATTTATATTTCACGAATTTCCCTGCTTCACATGTTGCTGATTGCGGCGGAGTCGGGCTTCCCTTTCGAAATTAAGGCTTTGTTGAGATAAATATCATTTCGCGAGGCGGAGAAGTCGGCCATCAGGCTGGTTATCATGCATCATGGGGAGTGGGTGCCGGCATGCGATCCTGTAATTACCTACTCGTCGGTCTACTACTACAGGATTGGAATGATTGTAAACTTTCCGGTGCCGGACGAAAGCTTCTGCCTTGGGCTTTTGAGTAGCTAGTACGGCGGTCAGCTGAAAAGATATCGTCAGCCAGCCCAGCGCTCTGAGGGAGGTTGTCCCTTGAAATCAAACTTGTTCGTTGTCCCTCCTTATGAGCAATAGGATTTTCCGCACAACTATAATCGTTTTGCACCCCTTTTGCTGTCATGGCGCATAGATGAAACCGAAACATTCTTCAAGATGTCAAATTGAGCATTGCATGGCAATGATCAGCAGAGATTGGACTGAGTGTTCTATCGCGCGCATGCCGCCGCAGTGTCGATCTTGACGTGCGGGCGTACTGGCGGCCAAACCTTCAAACCTCCAACGCGAGGCCGGCCGCGCGCGCGCCTGGCGACCGCAACCTTATCTGCTTGAGACTCAGAGAGTCTACACTGACAGAATTCAGATAGTCTACAGAATTGCTTTCTGCAGAGAAGAGCGCTCTCATTTTTCTTCGGGGCTGACCCCTGTGCTCTTGCTATAGATGCCGGTTCGGGTAGTACTAAGCAGGAAAAGCTTCACTTAAGTAAAGCCTGGAGAGTTAGGTGTCTAGATACGAACAAACACCTAGATTGCTGCCAACAAGAATGCATTTAAGCAAGATGAGGTGGTCTCGACTGATATTCTTCCTTTTTCTGATTCTCCTGGGCCGAGAAGTGGCCACAGCATCAGTAACAGAAGGTCCCCTGCGCTTACAGGGACCTCAGCTTATCTGCTTAGAAGATTGTGAGTATGCTAGCATCATACGGGAAGTCACATGCGCCAGGATCAACGGGCGCAGTTGGATTTGCAAAGCTGCTGAAATTCCAGTTGACCTGGTCCTGAAGACGCAGTTGCTCTTTTGCCAGGTACTTTCCTAGTCTGATCACTCTGAGCCACGTCTGCTTGATTCAGGACGAAAGGAGTGCATCGCCTGCTTCTTCATTAGAGCCTTCTATGCAGTATGCAAAACCATGGTTTTCAAATTCGTTACAACAATCTTTCATGCAAGCAATCTGAGACGTTAATTGAAGAGTTCTTTGTAACTTAGAAGGCCGACTGAAATTGAGGAAACCAACGCGCATCTTGCAGAGCAAGCAAATGGACGCCGTGAGTGCTGACAGCTGCTATTTGGAATACAGCCTGCAACGAAATGAAGAGAATCACAACGCACCCAGTGAGACTTGTTCTGTCATCTCTTTTACCTCGTTCAATGAGGGAATTCAGCGCGCAAATGGCAATTTTGAACGAGTCTGCTTTGCTTTTTTGTTCAGGGCGATTGGTTCCGTCAAACCATGTTGGGTAGTAGATTGCAATTGAAACGAGAGAGCAGGCCAATATCCTTTTTGTAATCACTTGCTTCATGAACTTGCCTCACTGCCTCTGATCTGCTACAACGGCTTTCTGAGTATTTATAAATTGCACCTTCTTCGTGATTTCGCAGAGTTCAACGGCCGATCGCCTGAGCTACTGCTTGGCACCTCGTTGGTAAGTCGTGATGATCTTAGCTGGTTTTAGTCACCAGTGAATCATCTAACCAAGCCTAAGCTTTGCTTCAAATCTCTTTTGAGCATTTTTACTTTCACGCCTCAGCGCGGAAGTCCTTCTTCTACAGATCCACCGTATCATTTTATTTTTTGGAGTTTCTAAGGCGCATCCCTGCAGATCCTGACCAAAATTATGGGCACGTGAAGCCAGTAGGCTTTTGGCATCTTGTTGGCTCAGGGAGCAATTGCATGATTTCGCGCAGGTCGTTGCTGCTGTCACAGCCTGCCTTCTTGTGGGGCATCTTGTCAGCAAAAAGCATATGGTCAAGCAGCTTGAAGTTTGGAGAGCCGTTTTGGCTGAGAGTGAAAAGAACGGTAAGGCCTTCCTATGGTGACCGACCGACGTCACCTGTGCATTCTTTTTCACCGTCTGACGCATTTTGCTGCACCTACCTGAATTAAGGATACGAAAAGTAATTCTGGCTGCGGATATGAAGTTACAAACTGATAGAGAATTCGCACATTGAATCCGCTGATTTACGTTGCTGAGAAGGAAGGCTCCATTGAAGGCTTTTTTGCACTGAAAAGGCTAAGCATCTGATTGAGTCAGGTTCTTCCGCCTTCTGCAGCTCACCGCCTTTGTCCAACAGCGGTCGTGAAGAAAGTCAACCATGCCATGTTCCAGTTCCCTGCATCGTCAAGCGGTTCCCTGGAGCCACTCGACGGGGCAGGGTTCTTCTTCAAGCCAAACCGAGCGGTCACGTGTAACCACGCCTTACCTTCACGGTTTAGGCAAGGGGATACTGTCTTGGTGCAAGTACCATCGCTTGAGAGGACCATGGAACTCAAAGTGCTAGAAAGAGACACGAGACTGGACTTCGCGATCTTGGAGCCTGTAGACGAACTTGCCCCCGACTTTCTGGAGATCCTAACCGGATATCAACCGTTTCTCGAGGGGAATGATCTGGTCCTGTTCACGTTTGTCGACGACTCTCAGCTGCCTCGTGTCCCAGGGGGGTGGAATAAGTCACCGGCCGTGATGAAAGCGGTTGGGTTGAGGGTTAGCAGCACCAAGCACCACCTGCTGTTCGATAGCAACACGTGGACTACAAACGACTGCGGAGCCGCGCTCTTGCTGTTCGACGGACGCGTGGCGGCGCTCAGTGTGGACAGCGTGGCGCATGCCAAAGACCTCATTAGGCAGAAGCTCGACATGGACGAGTCGCTGACGGACCTTGAAAAGTCGATCCAACGTCTGATTGGCAGAGTACCGGGGGGGCAGATCGGGCTCCTCGCAAGCGTCTTCGCCGACAGATGAGACTCTTCAAGTAATAGGCTGTTGAGCAAATTGCTGGGCAAGACATGCCATGCGTTGCTGATACTTCCTCAGAGTGCTTTGTATGCCATAAGTAGGGCCCTAATATTTTAGCACCTGATGTTCTCAGTTGATAACTATGATTCGATATGACCGATAGAAGCGCCGTACCGTTAAGCGAGCCATTACAATGCTGTCCGGCCGCCGCACACAGTTGCTAGTACCTCAATGATCATTATGCGCTAAGCCAGAGCTTACAAAACGCGAGCACGTATAGTGGAAGCGGAAGGACCAGGCAGTCGTTGCCGCGGCTGCAGCATACCAGCTTCTACATGGTGGCGTAGATGCATACATGTGTTCTGAATGCGTGGCCGAATAAGATACACTTCCACGAGCTAGCGCGACATATGTTACGGTGCGGTCACTGCCTCGACGTCTTTGGTTAAATATATTGAATGCTGCATCGGCCATGTGGCAAACGCGTCAAGCTTTGTCATGGCAGATTTGATTGTTCAAAGCATGCCTAATCTATAGCAGAACGCGATATGATTGTGTAACGGTTTGTAAAGCATGGTTCTCCCGCCGCAATCAGGATCACAAGCTACCTATGGTGGGTACCGTTCCGACTCCGGCCGCCACCAAATCGATTTAGCGCGTATCGAATATGGTCAGTGTTACCGGCGATTAGCGTCACGGCTACTCAGGTTTATGTTACTCGGGCGGTACAAATACTCAGAAAAATTTTGCCGGGCCGTAAGTAAGTGTGAGGAGATTCTTAGACAGTGTCAGGTTTTACACTTTGAGAGGAGCATCAAATTGGCACGCAAAGAAGAGCCATATGCAGCTTATAAAAACCTCTGACAAGCAGAAAAAAATGTTGGGAGAGCGTCATGAAGGCTCCTTCGAAGCTCCAACATCTTGTTATGTTGAGGACAAATCGGAAGAAGCACCATCGTGGCTGCAAAGTTGGCCGCCATTGCTTGCTTCTAAAAAGCGCCATTCCCTACACTCCCGTTTCCATCTTCTGCACTCTCCTTTCAAGTTAGGTACCGCGGTACTCTAGGGTGGTTCGAGTCGGAACTTCCGATCGAAACCATGATTTTCAAATTTCACGTACGGTCAGACTTGATCGGTACCGTACCGCCGGAAACTCCGGAAGTTTCTGACGATCGGAATGTCAGACAGATTCTAATTTATGAACTCGGACCGGATTCTCAAGTACCGGTCTGCACGACCGTCAGTACCGCGTACAGTAATTGTCGCGACGCGACACACCGGTGATTCAAATTTGTGACCGGACCGTCGCGCGATCGAGACCGCCGATACCCACCAGAGGTTGCTTGTGATCGATTGTTTCTCTTGGACGGCAAAAGCTCAAGCTCGCAGACTGCCACATACAGGAAACTCAAAGACCACATCGCAGCTACATAGCTGCCAGGTAGAGAACCACCATGACAGAAAGCAACATGTAGGTACGTGACTGCATGCACTTCAAGCAGAGGGCAGCAGTACTTACTTTCCAAACACTTCAGGCCTTACAGACTCGTCCTTTCTCGCCGAGACAGGGATACGTACATCCAACAATGATTTTCATCTCAAGTCTATCGAGAAGATGCGCACTGAATGGTCTGCACCGCACGCGGCCAACTGAAGCCTCTCGCTTTGGCTGGCCTCCGCTTGTCTACTGTCACCCGCCCATCTATCGGCATACCCGCTCTTCCACCTGATCCTATGTACCGCTGCCACGTGGCAGAGCCCCGCGTCAAACCGCCTGGTCAAGCTTAACCCGCCCGGTTCACCCTGCCACAGCTCCAGGCCGCCATTTTCCAGCCCCACCGCCAGCACGTTCCTCGCCCCCCACGCCAGCGCCGTAACGCTCTCCCTGAAAGCCGGGAGCCTCGTTACCTCCCGGACGCCCGTCGCACGACCGTCCGCACCGTACGAAACCGCCCAGATCTTGACGAGCTTGTCGCGCGAACCGGTCGCGAAGGTGCGCCCGTCGGGCGCCCAAGTTCCTGCCCACACGATCCGCTTGTGCGCCTCGACTTTGAACACCAACCGGTACGGCGGACCGGTTTCGGACGACGGTACCACCGTCCGGCGGTCCAAGTACGACCCTTCCTTGATCCAGCTCCCCAAGCCTTCCTCCTCTTTATCATCCCGCTCGTTCCTTCCCACTCCATCCGCCAGCTCTTGAATCAGCTCTTGAATTGCCCCCCGGGAAGAGGTTTCCACCGAACTCGTGCTCGGCACACTCTCTTCGTCGCGTTTCCGCACAGGATTTCCGTCGCTTTTCCCAGGAGGATCCTTCGAACCAGGCTCGACGCCGTTTTGTCCCGTGCCGGCTGCGCTTCCAACAGACCCCGAACCCGTGCGCTCCCAAAGCGACACGTGGCGGTCCCTGGAGACCGCCAGCAGGAACCGGTCGTCGCCCGAGAACTCAAGCTGGGTGACCGTGAGCTGGTGAGCCGACAGCTGGCCCACAGGCTGCCACGTGGCGGTGTCCCACAGCCAGATGGCGGCAGCAGCCGCGGACTGGGCCTTAGAGGCGGTCGCTAGGATTCTGCCCGAATGATCGCCTGGGATGGAAAGCAAGGCCGTTAGCAGACATGTCGAAAGATTTGTAAACTTGGGGAAGCAAGATTATGAAGACGAGTCGGTGGGCCTAGATGGTCAGGTTCGTGTTCGTTGGAAGTAGAATACGTCAGCAGAAGCCTTCCATCGTACTGCCTGTCCCGCTCGTCCTCCTTCTAATCTCAAGCTTCGAGAGGGCAAGCACTCCAGCTTCGACGAGCTTTTCATGCACTTGGTGTGGAGTAATATCGACTTCAGCGGCCAGTCGATTGCGTTTGCTTGAAGTGTCAAAAAGGTTGCCGGTAAGTCAATCCCCTTTGACAGCCTAGCATTTGCAGCTCAAGATCCTGGAACTATACGCACTGATTCCGGGAAAAAATGGATCGTCAAAATGTGGAAACATCACTTCCCAACCGCCTGGCACGTCATCAGTCAGAGACATCACCTTTCTTGTGGTGCCGGAAATCGAAACGAATCCCCCAGAACAGTACGAACCTAAGCCTTTATATCCTGAGACCCAAAACCCTAGCTTCTCACCGGCCATGCACCACAGCTCGTTGCCGTGCCCGTACAGCTTCCGCACTTCCGGCCACAGCGTGTTCTGCGCCAGATGCTCTTCAAGCGGCGGTTCCTCCAACACTTTCGGGGCCGCCTCAGGCACCGTGTCAAACGCCTCTCCCCCCAAGCCCCCCATCTCCCCCCCGTTCTTGTCCCCGTTGTTCGCCCCCCCGGCCGCATAAATCGGCTTTTGAGACAGCCCCAACGCTGACATGTTTGCGCCGAGAATCTTCTCTGTGGTGGAACCCTTAGCGCTACTTTCGGCCCCTGCTCCGAGTGCACCGGACGGAGGATCCTCTAGGCCGGCCCCCTGCGAAAGCGTCTGCAGAAAGGCCTCAGGCGCCTGGAACACCCGCGCAACCTTCTCCTCGGACCCGCTGACGTACACGCCGACGTCAGCGGTGCTTGTGCTGACGTCAGCGGCCGGGCCGGCGAACGCGCAGCAGTGGATGTCATGCCCGTGCACCTGCGGCCGCGCAATTTCGTGCCACGAAGCGCGGCCACCAGCTCTCCGCCCCCCCAAACTCACAGGTGTTTCTTTCCCCCCAGCTGCATCACTTTCGGGCGTTTTTTTCCCTTTCTCCTCTGACTTCGAGCCCGCGTCCCGGCCCCCCCACTGCCAGCACGCTTGTATTCTTGCCGTCTGATCTTGGCTCACGCTCAGCAGATACCGCCCCCCCCGATCCCATTCACAGTCCGAAACGGCCCCCACGTGGCCTGACACAGCCAGCCGGGGGCGCCACTCTTCCCCCCCAGACTCCAGAACTTCCCGACCCCACAAGTGAAATGAGCCCGTGTAACCGTGCGCCAGAATCGCATCCCCCCGGGGGGACCACAGCCCGGTGTAAAAGCCGAGGTTGGACACCCCCAGTTCGCCGACGGTCACCTCGGACGTCCAGAGCCCCGTGCGCGCGTCCGGCCGCCAGACCATCATCGTACGGTCCATGGATGCCGACAGGAGCGACGACCGCGCAGCGCTTTCCCTCACTCTCCTTTCCGCTGCCTCTGCGCTTCTCTCTAATGAACTTGCGTCACCATTTTGAATCAGACCATTGCTCCCTGTGGCATTTGAGCTGGGAGAAGCGCCTCCGGAGGTGCCACTTGGCAGTACGGAAGCGACAGGTGGCGGCGCCCAGCGCACCGAGTGCACCCAGTCCTCGTGGCCAATGAGGAGCGACTCCAGGGACGCCTCCCACACGCGGCCGCCCACCCGGAAAACAGGGCCCGCCGCATACATGTGCAGCAGGCTCATGAACCCCGCCAAATCCGGGGCCTCGTCTTTGGGGTCGCTATTCGACCTGTTTATTTCCGGTTTCGCCGGGTTTGCTTGTTTGCTTACTCTGCTGCCAAGCGCGAGGTTGCCTTCCTCCGTGCTCGGAGAAAGCAAGTTAGATTCGCCGTTTCCGGTCGAGCTAGTGGAGGGTATCGGTTCTTGTTCGGTAGACGTAGTCAAAACTGACGTGGAGGTCGACTTCCGGGGCGCGATGCGCCAGATGCGCACGTTGCGATCCTGAGATCCGCTTGCCAAGAGCAGCGGAGGAGGGTTGGATGCAGATGGGTTCGGACGGGGAGCGAAGGCGAGGGAGCGCACCCAGTCTTGGTGACCGGTCAGAGAGCAGACCTTTGAGAACTGCAGAGGCAAGTCAGGAAGTTTCAAGCATCTGTCACGAGAAAATTCTGATCTTATGCACGAGGAACACCACAGAAGTTTCGTTGACCGTTTTGGGATTGAGCGAAACCACTCCGTGGATACATACTGTATGGTCCTCTCATTGTCGGTTTCGACCATTGCCTCAAGCAACTTTTCAAAAACCGCCAACTTCAGGGCCTCTCTCCTGATAACGTGGCCCCATCCCAAGAGAAAAGCATACTAAACGCCCAAACTTTTTGATCCTTACTCCAGACAGCCTGTGCGAGCAATACATAACAACTTAGACCAGGGAATGTGATTACTCTTACCCCTTTCCTGAAGGATAAAATAGCAGAACCGGATGTGCTAGTCTTTGAACAACCCAACAAAAGAAGTGATCAGAGTCACGATTCAGATACAAACTACCGTACCAATTGTCCGGTTGGGCAACAATCAAACATTCTTTGACTTCCAAAAATTTGAAAATAAAATTCAATTAAAGATTTGCAGATCATTTTGCCCCGTAAAAAGACAAAGTAAATGGATAGATGAAGCTGCCCAAAGCCCATGAGATACAAAACTAATCATTGGGCAAAAATCTGCACAACCGGACAATCGGTACGGTAATCACTATTTTACTAAGGCCCCACCCACCTGAAGGTGCTCTGAGCTGGTGTACAAGTGCACTGCATTGTCCAAGCCCCCAAGCGCCAACAGCAGTCTGGACCCCCTCTCAGAAAGCGCCGTCATCGCCGCTGACATCATCACCTTCGGTCCCACCGAGATGGTCTGCACACACGTGGTCTCTACCAGGCCCTGTCCGGATCCCCCTCCCTTGCTGATGCCCCAGATCTTAACTGTACCGTCCGACGAGGTTGAAACCAACAGGGCCTCTATAATTCTCGCTGGATGAACCGACGGGGTAACAGTACGAACGTGACTGACTAAGCACGTGACGGCCCCAGAGTGCGCAGTTGGAATGTGTGCTACAGATACGAAGTTGGGTTCCGATGTATCACGAGGTTGGTCCTGGCGGGATGTGCTTTGCTGTCCCCAAAGGAAGATTGTGCCGGATGCATCTCCGGAGGCCAATATGAGGGGGAGGGGGCTTGGGGCCGGGTTTGCAGGATGGTTTCCAGGCGGGTTTACTGGGTGGTTTGCATGGTTTGTGGGAAGGCCGGCGGAGTGCCTTGGCAGCCATTCGGTGCAGTTGACGCGGTCGGAGTGTCCTGGCAGTGTCGTAAGAACCCTCACATCCTGTATCGCAGATGAAAGATGGGTATTGAAGCGATGCTTCTGGTTCGTTGTTGAGCGTTCAACAACTTCAATGAGGACACGTGGTCTCAATAGAATTTCTCATTAGACTCTAACTCAAGGGCGAACCATAACAGCTCATAATAGATAGACTAGGCTGAATGAGCAGGGAATTCTGCATGAGAAATCCGCGTAGGGAAAACAAAGGCACCAAAGGGGGCAAAGAATAATTGACTGCAAGCACCTGAGAAGCTGCGTTGAGCTACAACATATGAAGGTCAAAAAGAGGAGAGAGTACTCCTAGCTTTGTAACACCACACGCACAAAAGAAAGTACAGTTTCCGGTCTATCATACTTCCCGGAGGGTTTTACAAATGGTGGAAGCGAAATAGCCTCTTCGCACTCGATGCATCAGTGGAGACTTTGAATGGTGGTGCATCTATCTGTGACGAGCATAATTACTGATTGCAACTCCAGCTACACATGATTTGCATAGAAGCAGTGGCGATCGAGTTGTTAGCTTCACCTCGGGACTGTATAGAGCCACCGCATTGTGTGCGCCAAATGCGACAAGGCCTGAGGGGCCCCAAGATGCGGCATTGACCACCCGGTTGCACCCCACCCCCACATGTTCCAATCGAACGTCCATCCTGTCAAAACTGACGTGATCTCTACCACCAAGTTTGGGACGATCTCTGGACTTTGAAGGGTGGTAGTTCGGAAGCACTTGCAGTCGGCGCCACCAAGAGGTTCTTTTGCGAGCTGAGAGGCATGCTCCTCAATGCGTCTTGAAGGCAGCAACCTCAGAAGATATGACAGAGAGAAACCACCTGAGCGGCTCTGCTGCGAAGTTAGCGAGGAGCTGCCCCTGCCTCCCTGCCTTCCTAGCTGCCTCCCTGATCTTTCAGATTTGACCGAGTTCGCAGCTCCATTCATCCCTCTTGAGTGACATCACCTGCGGTTTATTATCTTTTTATGCAGCGTTACACGTTCTGTTGGAACTTTTGCTGTCGTTGCCTTGGTCGGTTGTATTCCCGGCGATCGTTGAAGCCCCGGGAAATCGTTAAGACCCAGAAGGCTAGGAGCAGTTAAATACATCCGGCCGGATGGTCCTGCCTATGCCGTTACCTCCCGCGCCTTCCGTTTAGCTACTATTGTAACGCTAGCTTTTGTCCTGCTAGTAGAAAATTGTCAGCTAGCCTGAAATACTATAGAAAGGGCGGAAGCAGCAAGCTCGGAGTATGAGTATGTCTGAGCAAGTCTTCCCATCTTGGCGCTGCTGGGTGCTAACTTAAATTCAGAGGGATAGGGTGGGCCACTACTTCGGAAGGAAGGAGTCATGTTGGTGATCGGAAAGGTGTACGGTTTTTGCTAGAAAGCGGCCCGTCAGTAGAAAAGTTGACAGGAGAATTGCAATGATTTTCGTAGCCAGCAGGGGAGGAGGTTTTACTGGATACCGAATTGGGCAGCAGCTTGATTGTAAGCTCACAGCAGTTGCTTGTGAAAGAATCTCATATTTTGACATGCAGGGACGGGCTGTGGCGTGACTGTGGGCAATTGGTAGCTGCTTGTTCCACGTTTGGGGGACGATGCGACCGACTGGAGCAAATTGAGCGCTATCAGGTTTTTAGGGGCCAAGCATCATTTGTTTCCAGCCTCGTGCTCAATGCGCTGCGCCACAACAACCCTCCATCAAGTCCGGTAGCCAGGCTCCGAATCCTGTCAAACATTGCCAGCTTTTGGACTGACCACCAATCAAAGCAAGGCAGCCCCGAGGCACGCAGTGAGAGCATAGTGCGTCACCCATTGCAGCACAACGCTTCACGACCCCAAAACTCATGCAGCCCTAGTTCACAATATCACCGATTGCAGAGCCGCCCTCCCCCTCCCCCTCCCAACCCCCCTTGAAAAATGGCTGCCAATAGTCCCCCCTCCCCCCCCGGCGTCCTCAAGACTCCCAAAGACCACTGGGTGTGCCCCCTGTGCCTCGAGATCATGGAGGACCCCCACTCCACCCCCTGCCGCCACTCCTTCTGCCGAACGTGCATAACGCTCGCGTTCGCGCACGAGACGCACCGGCAGATGCATTCCCCCCATGTTGCGACCCCGATTCCCCCCCCAAAGACATGTCCAATTTGCAGAGCGGACTGCGGCTCGGAAGGGGGGGTAACTCCGAATGGGGGCCTGGCGGCGGAGCTACGGGGGGCGCTCGTGAAGTGCGGGAACGTGGGGTGTGAGGAGGGGGCGGTGCGCGCGAGCGAGTGGAAGCAGCACCAGGGGGTCTGTGCGTATGCGGAAGTGAGCCCCCTCCTCCGCTTTTCCTTACATGCATCAAAAACCTGGTTTGAATCGAGACACAGGTACTTAAGAGTAACTTTTCAATGCAACGCTGAGGAGCGCGACCCTTTGCGTCAAATGTCATCTTGCTACGACCTCTTCCCAGTGCGAAGAGCATAGAAAGTCATGGGGAGGCCAAAAGTTGTCAATGAAGTTCCTGGGACGTGAAGCAGAAGGGGCCCCCTTCCTGGTATGTAGAATGTGACCTTTCAGCTGGCATCCCCTGAACCCCAGTCATGTCAGATGTCAGGTTATGTCAGATATCCCGAATGTCGAACTTTCTCAGATCTCCTGATTCTTGACCAACAAAGGCTACCCCCAAGGTGGTATAGTCGCACCTTTTAAACTATACAGTCACGGGACACGCCACCTATCGATCAAAGAATGTCTCTTACAAGCGCGCCGTGTACTCGTTACTTTTTTCCCTAGAAAGGAAAGACAGTTCATCCAGGTTCGAGTGCTCGGACTCTTGCTCTTTTGTTCCAACTTACTGAGTGGATCGCTCAAACGGATGGTATACCACAGTGAAAACTTTTCTGACACCCCGACTCCAAACACAGCCCTGCTAAGAAAGCTCAGATCGCAACAAACCTTGCTACAAGCTCCTCAATCGCACCAAATCTCTTTCCCCCAGGTGTCCTGCTCACAACAGCCGCTCGGGTGTCATTGGCGGGGGGTCCGCCACCAGCTGGGCGCGCACGAGCTGCGGTGCGCTTATAAGGAGCTGAGTGCATTTATAAGGGGAACTAACGAGAAAGTGGCGCAGCTAGCGCACACCGTCACGCACCTGGAGCACCAAGTGCGGCTACAAAACGCGCTGTTGCAGGTAAGTGGTTACTGAGCGGTTATGAGGGTAGGTTAAGGTAAAACGGTGTTGCGGTATGGTTGTCTTGTCATGGTTCGAGGTCTCGTTTGGCGAGGATTTAGCCCGACCATAAGAGGATGCATAGATCACTGTCAGGTACGCCTACAAATGGCAACTGCAAGTCTGGCTGAACCCAGGCGATTTGGGGCTGGACGATGCTCGGGTCATGGTCAGATTCGGTTGTGGTAGATTCGATCGGTGTCGGATGGTCAGCAATGTAAGTCTGAGTTTGAAAGAGCAATTGACGATTACAGCGCGGCCATAGAACACACAGTACAGATTGGGGTAACTGCCACCGACAAAGCCCCGCTGAAAGTTGAACTTCGGATCTGCGAAGTCACAATCTATCGGTCAATCGACCGTCAGACCGCAGCAAAAACTCTTGTTTTGGAATGGCCGTCAAAATCTGAAAGCTGCGCCATCGAGTGTACAAGGGATCCGCATGCCAAAGTTGAGGTTAGAACAGGTTAGAACAGGTTAGAACAGGTTAGAACAGGTTTGGTTCTGGCGAGCAGGCAGCCTAACCAAGTTGGAAACACTTCGTGCTGCTGACCCTATTCTTCCCCACTGATACAGGACCTGCGGCGGTTGCATCACTATAGCTTACAAGACTACTTCAAGTTCGTCTACCTCATCTTCTGCCGGCCGGACTTGTACGAGACGAGCCGGGAGCTCTGGCGGCACTCGTTCAACGTCTCGTGGTTCCAAGTGAGAGGAGAATGACTCACTCTTGACTTGCTTCACAGAAAAACCTGTCGGTTGTCTTTTGATGGCAAAGCAGAGTGGCAAAGACCTGCTATCGTCTGATTTACGGCAGCAGTGCCGAAAACTTCCTACTGTCGAGATTTGAGCACAAGCTCTTCCTTCATTGCTCTTGGAGTGTGGCGATAACATGGATTTTGCCGATCGAGTCCCGCTCAAAATGCTTGACACCATTCTGATGCCGAGAACAGCCAGGTGATCGACCGCTCCCCGTTCTGATCTCATGGCTCCTGTCTCATCGTCATTCTCAACCTTACACCCATCTGGAATCCATTTCCGTTCATTGACCCCCGACGTCCGACTCTGCCTCGAGTCCTGATTTAGATGCAACCATCAGCGGAGCTGGCTTTGAGCCCTCTCTTCTCGACGCCAAATTGTGCTTGCCGCAACCCGACCGAAACTTAAAGCATTCCTTCACTCTCCAGACCGACTGCCCATTCGCCTGTCAAGAGCTTTTCCAGGTCGATTCGGCCTTCTCAACCTCACCCAAACCCGGATACCTCGAGCCCAAAGCTTCACAACTAGAGTTTTACCCCCTTCCCAGGCCGTCTGCTTCATGCTGCCCACCTTCTTCTGAGAAATTTCGCCTCTTACCTCTCGAAGGACTCCACTTTCCCACTACAACACAAACCCAATATCTCGACGCCAAAGCAATAAACCCAAAACGTAACCCAAAAGTTACATCCTAAACCTTCTTCTCCAGGCCGTGTGCTTCATGCTGCCCATCTTTTTGCTCAAGTTCCGCCTCCTCTTCTCGCCTGACTCCACGCTCAGCTGGACGTGCCACGTGCTTCGGGAGCACGGCGCGTTCGGCGTCGCGCGGGGGCCGCTCACGCGCATGTGCGCGTCGCGCGCGTGGGCCGACTTCGTGCAGCCGGCGGTCAACGGGATGGGCATCGGAGTGGCGCTGGGAGGTGAGCGTTATGGAGCGGGTTTCGAGCCAAAGTATATTAAAAGGTACAGGGTTCTAGGGTCAGCGGCACACACGTGTGCCGCTTTTGTGCAGCCAAATGTGAACGGGATGGGCATTGAGGTAGCGCTGGGAGGTGAGGGTTAGGGATCGGCTTCCGGAACAGAAAATGAGATGATTAAGGTGTAAAGGGTTAGAGGAATTCTAGGTATACTGGAGTTTCTGTCCTTACTTGCTTGCGCTGCGAAAATTTGGGCGTCGCACATAATCTTATTTGAGGTGGCTGCACGAATTTGGCCAGGTCAACCTATTGGGCAGTTCTCTCTCGGTAGATAGAGCACGGGATCCTGCCCGGTGTGTCGAAATGTCCGAACTCGTGTATGGAAGATCTTGGACATCGCGAGTGTCGCGTCAGGTTCTTGAACATCTAGTGCGGACAGGTTTGAAGACAACTCCAGTTGTCGATTGAGTCACTTGAAGCGGGCCGATTTGGAAAAGCAGAGAAAGGAATGAGTACGAATCTTTCCGTGCAAGCATCCTGGAGAAGGTGTGAGTGGCCGGCTTGTGGGCAAGAGAAGACGAAAGTCTCAGAACAAAGCAGAAGCCGTATTCGAGGCAGAAAGAGGGGGAAGAAAGGAGCGAAAGCGCGAAAGCGCTCTTTTTTCCTTGTGCAGGCAACCTGGTGAAGGTGTGGGTGGCCGGCTTATGGGCAAAGAGACAAAACAGTTTAAGAGCAAGTAGAAGCCGTATTCGAGGCTAAAAGAGAAGAGAAGGAAGGAAAGCCCGAAAGCGCTCTGTTTCCTTGTGCAGGCATCCTGGTGGAGGGGTGGGTGAACCGGATTTGGCACCGCAGCTGGTCGCGCCACGTGCTGTTCGTGCTCGTCATGGACGTCGCACCCGGCGTGTTTGCGGACGGGGAGCTGCTGCTAGGTGCGACTCTTAGCGAGCTTGACCGTCCAAGTTTTTGGTTATAAGGGGCCTCGTGTAACCCGTAACGCCTTGGCAACCACATAGCCCGTATCCGGGCATACCGGGGGCGCTAAATCCGCTACCACGTGAGCAGATTTTTGGCAACACAAGAACAGGATCTTCTGCGAAGGGGCCCCCGCAAACCCATGTGGTTAGACGCCCTCTTTAGCGAGCGCTTGACCTGCCTCCTTTCTTTACAAGTGCCTTCCCGTGCGTTCTCCCTGGTCGTTTACTTTGTCCTCAACCGTGTCGTCAGCGCTCAAGCCACTGCTTTTGACGTCGTCCTTCCCTCTCTCGCTTTCGAGAGACGGAAGGCGCGCTGTGCGCTTCTGGGTATCGGGGACTACTCTTTGGTAATGCATTTGACGCCTGTCTGGATGACTTTCCAAGAGACCCGGTTCCAGGCTGGTCGTCCGTCGTTTCAGCCAACCGTTGCACAAAGCACGTTCACTCATTGTAGCAAGACGATCTCTCAACGTAGATCGCGCTGCAAGGAGGGTCACAGCTTAATCGATTTCATGATATGTATGTCAAGCTTTATGTACAGTAAGCTTTATGTATAGTAAGCTAGCCAGCCTGGGACGGGTGGGGTTACTTTGGAGCTTCAGGGTGCGGAGCGGGTGATTTGAATGGTTCGGTTACTAGTGTTAGGGTACGAGCTCACTATATCTAAAGCTTACGATACGTCAATTGAAGAGACATGCTTCTTCCACTCATCGGCCTCGCTGACCGCTGCCTCGCCTCTCCTGCAGCCACGTGGCTGGCGTACCTGCTCTTCTTCGCGGTGCAGGCGGTCATCGGGAGCCACAAGTTCGTGCCGGTGTTGCTAGACGGCATCCTCATGTCGAGCGCGCTCTACTCGCGCCTCGGCTGGCTCAAGTGCCTCAATCTGCTGGTGGGTTTTGGAACGGGTTCTGGGTGTGGTTTGAAAGTGGGTTTGATTTGTGGGTTCAGACTCAAGTCTGGGTTCATCTACGGCATTGATACAGGTTTTGACACGACCTTTGCAGAAACCAGGTTTGCTCTGCTTGTTCAAGCTCTCGCCGGCGATTGAGGACTACTAGCCGCTTACACACGGGCTCGGAGAACCCGAGCGGAACCAAATGTTGACTTAAGAATGTCGGCATATGGCTCCCAACTTTTGCATCATCGTGCTTTCCGTGTGTTTGAGAGAAAGCGCCCAGTGTTTAAATTGGTTATCTCTGGGCGCTTGTTTGAGGGGCGCTTGGTTAAGGGATACCTCGGGATGCTACGTTGCCCGCTCTCGCTGTCTGACACAGTCATAGATATCTTGGTGGTCGTTAAGGACACGTGGCAGCTTGCTGACCTCGCCACGTGTCGGTTGCAGGTCCTGCGGTGGACGAAGGTGTCGGTAGACCGGCTGCTCGGCTCGGCGCGCGACGAGAGCGGGCTCGACTTCGAAAAGATTTTACGGGCCATGGACCAGGTAAGCTGTCGCACCTTTTCGAAAGCCTTATCGTTTCTCGGCTAGTCGCTTCACGTGTCTTCTTTCCGTTCCGGTTGTTGTGCTGAGGTTCAAACCCTCCTCCGTCTTTTACCTAGTATACAAGAAACCAACCGTGGCTTGCTTTGGGATTTGTTGGCCTCAGGTCAAGCTGACTCTAGTACCGAAAGTCCTGACAAGGCTGCCGACTCCGCTGTTGACTCCTTGCTTCCGAAAGATTCAAAGTTGCCAGTGGTTTTCTGTTCCTCCGCACAGGCTCGCGAACCACTGAGACCTTGTACCAATTGCCACCTGTTCAACGCTGGCGCTTTGCGCAGGTGTAGTCGAGTCGGCTGGATTGTCCGTACAGTCTGCTCACTTTTCATCTTCTCAAAGCTCTGTACGCCTCGCAATCCAATTTCGAACTGAACAGCAAAGCGGGTGGCTTCGTCCCCTCTTGTTTCCAGGGCAGGCCGCAGATATTCATTCCGCATTTCCGTGCCTCAATATTGAGGGGCTTGAACCTGTTCAGAGAAGCTATTGCTTCTGGTCTGCCACGTGCCTTTTCTGGAGGACCGTGGGAGCTAACGCGTCGTTCGTTTCCGCAGTTCGAGCTGACGTCGGAGGAGCAGCGGCGCGCGTGGCTGGCGCTGTGCTGCGTGGTGGCGTCGCTCCTCTTGGGGGGGGGCGAGCTGCTGCGCTGGTACGGCTGGGTCCTGCTCTGCAACACCACCTTCTACGCCAGCCTCTGGATCCCCTTTGTGCTGCTCGAGGTAAGCCCTTAACCGCCACCCTAACCCGGGCTGTCAACAACCAGAAAAATCTGCTCAATCTTTGCTTATTACTCCAACCTCAGGATCCCGGTTGTTTTGCGCAAGGTAAGCGTTCACCAGCACCCTAGCCCGGATATTGATTGCAGAAGCCTCATTGCCCAATTGTCAGTTATGCCAGCCTCTGGATCCCATTTGTACTGCTCAGAATAAGCCTTAGCCGCCACTCTAAGCTGGAAGTCAAGTACTAACCGGCACTCTAACCTGGAAGTCAAGTACTGGGAAATGTTTGCTCAAAATTCGCCTTTTACGCCAGCTCGAAATCCCGGTTGTTCCGGTTGATGTAAGCCTTAAGCGACACCCAAACCCGAATCTGGAATCCGTCAAGTCCTGTCGCTCAAGCTTTGTTGTTTGCGCCAGCCTTTTAGTCCCGTTTGTACTGCTCGAAGCACGGCTACACCGAAATTCTTAACAAGAAGTTTGACCCCTAAGGGCTATTGCTCAATCTACGCCTCTCATGCCAGCTTTTCGAATCGCTTCGTCCATCTAGAGGCGGGTTTCACATAGCTAAATTGATTGCAACAGCCGACAACCGGAAGGGACAAGCGCATACTGAAAAAAAGGAAAGGCTTCCAATCTTAAACGATTCTGTTCCATTGAAACAAAGCTACCTCTTACCCTTTGTCTTCGGCAACCTGCAGAAGTCCTTGTCGAGTCGCGGCCAAAAGCGGTGGGCGTTCTTTGGCAGCGAAGCGGTGCTGGGCTTGTCGTGCCTCGGCTTCGGGGGCCTCTTTTGGCACGCCTTTGGTGGGGACGCGCCGGGGGCGCCGGGCTGAGAGAACACGAGCAGTACAAACGGCTTAAATATATTATTGATATGTAAGGGCGGGCGCTAGTCGTTTGTTCTAGATACATGTCCGTGGAAGTCTGGCCAAAAGCCCGAATTCTCGCACAACTGCATCATGAGTACTCTATGCAACTGGGCCATGTGCGAATGCGTGACTGCGCGCTTTAATGCGCACTGTGTGAACGTGTGGCTGTTTCTGCATTGCATGGTCTTGCGAAATCTTGATACTCTGCGGCTATTCAAAAAACGTAATGGTGATCAAGCAACCTTAGTCACTAGCTGTGTGTTACGATTCTGAGCGTGGCCTGTCATGTTTTTGAAAACAATTCCTCATGGGCCAAGATTAAAGTCTAATGTGAAAGGGCTCGACGGCTTACATGCAAATTGAAGCAACTTTTGTTTCAGATTATTGTCGGATGTGTGAGTATACAATCTAGCGCATGGGCGCTAGGTCCAACACTACCGGGGCGCGCGCAACGCTAGTCTACTGAGAGACACACATGCGAGCAACCATTTCAATCATATATCTACGGTATCTCAGTGCGAGCGCGCATCCAAAACCAGGTGCTGTTACCATGACAGTTTATGATAGCAACAAAGTAAAAATCTTTCTGGTGCTACAATTTACAAGGTCTCAGATTCAGCATCTTGTTGTTTGTATCGATGCCTTAAAAAGCCCGTTATCAACGCATCAAGGTCTCCGTCCATTACGCCTGCCACGTCGGACGTCTCTACTCCCGTGCGAACATCTCTGACCATCTTATAGGGGTGAAACACATAATTTCGTACCTGTTGCCCCCATTCCGCTTTCACAATGTCCCCCCGAATGTCAGCAATCTCTTTCGCCTTTTGCTCTTGAGCAATAACCTACAAACAATGGAGCAGAACACTCAATTGATGTTTGAGCAAGCTTTCTGATTAAACAGGGCCTGCAAACAGGAGTGCCATGCGGCACCAACCATGTTTCTTTGCTGGAAACATGCAAAAACCCTTCTAGATTCATACAAAGGAAGCTAAACCTGTCTAAACATGACAATACCTACATCAGCTTCCTTTTTAATGCCCAGGGTGCAAACACCTGCATTCCATCTCACTTTCACTCGGCTGAGATCTGGCAAATAGAGACAAGAAAATGCAGGGGGTAATCACGAAAACGAGCAGAAGGACGAGAAACAAAGGAAGCGACCCTACCAGCAGCTTGGCTTTCAGGTTTACCAGCGCGCGCGCCTTGTTCTGCAGCTGACTCCTCTCTTCCGTGCACTTAACCGCCAGCCCCGTCGGTTTGTGCACGATCCGAACGCCGGTCTCGACCTTGTTCACATTCTGTCCACCGGCACCACCGGAGCGCATTGTCGTGATCTCAAGCTCAGACTCCGGAATGATGACGTCATCCGTGCTCCCCTCGTCAAGAATCGGCATCACCTCCACGCCGCTGAAGCTGGTCTGTGTTGTCGAGGTGAACAAGCGGGGTTAGCGAGGTTTGGGGTTTTAGGGTTTTCGGTGATTCCCAGAAATTTTAGCAGAAAGAGCAGAGACTTTGCAGAGAAGGAATGCAAGGAAAACTAAGGGGGGAGGCAGAGTTGGCCAGGGAAGAGCTGTATCGGCTCGAACGAGTTCAAAAGACATTGAATTTCACAACAGTTCCCGCCGATCGCTCACCTGTCGAAGCGCCTTCCCGCCGCCAAAGGGCGATATTCGCACCAAGCGGTGCGTACCCTTTTCTCCCGCTAGGTACCCGTACGCATACCGCCCGTCGATGTCGAGCGCCGCGCTTTTGATGCCCGCCTCGTCGCCCTCGCTGCGCTCCACGACTTTGCACGAGAAGCCGCGAGCCTCAGCCCACCGCGAGTACATGCGTAGCAGCATCTCCGCCCAGTCCTGGAGGAGAAAAGGCATCGTGATTGGCTGAGCATCATCTGCACCTGCAAGGTCTTTAAAGTAACATTTCCGATTCTGATTACGCCATATTTCTGGCCTTTGTGCGCCCGACTCTACAACCTACTCGCCCTCTCAGACGTTCGTCCTGGCATAACTTCCTGAAGGCGCGCCGGATCGCCCCTAGTCCTTGGAATGTTTTTCCAAGTTCCACCGCTTGCCCAGATTTCTAAGCCCCTCAAAAGTTGAAATAGAGAAACCGTTCTTGAATCCGCTAACAGCCTATTCGAGCTTGCACGAAAGCGTGGATAGGTTTCCGCTCAAACGGCCGCCTTTTATACGAGTTCCTCTGTCCTTCCCAAAAAGAGAAAGACAATATCGAAGTCTTCCGAAATTGACTTGAACTTCAAACTGGACATTCAGGCTAGTGGCCCCCCTCAGAACGGGATCATATGCGAAAAGTGGTTTCAAGCACTCATGAAGCGAACAGATTGGCAAGCGGCGCAAAATGCTCAAAAATTCTTGGGACCGTCCTTTGGAAGTTGCGAATGGGCGACCAAATCGGGAGTTCTTCAGTGGGAAATAATTCAGGTCCTGTTTCATTCATTCAGGTCGTGAGAAACGCAAACAACATGAATGGCTAGGCCCCGGCGGACCCTCACTTGAAAACTCACGGACTGCTCTCTTTCCATGCTAGTGATATTCTTACCTGTGCATCAGTACCCCCGGCCCCAGCTGTGATTGTGAGTCTTGCACCTCTCAAATCGTACGGACCCGAAAGTAATCGGTTCAATTCGTACTGGTCCAGTGCTTTGTTGAACCAGGCGAGATTCGCGCGTGCCTCCGCTAAGAGCGACGAGTCAATTGTCTGCGAACCGTCTAAGAGTTCTACGATCATCTGCGTTTCTTCGACCTGAAGAAAAGGAAGGAGAAAATGCTAGGGTCGTTCAACGTAGAAACGGTCCTTTTTTGTCATAAGACTGTAGCCTATCACCATTGAGAAGGGAGTTCACAAAGCCGTGTGCTGAGGTGTTGAATATTTGGATAAAAGCATGATTTGCGTCAGGTACACATATTTCGACTCGATTGGGTTGTGAAGGCGAAGAGCCAATACCTCATCCTGGTAATATGCTCTTAGTTGATCAGGAAGCGTGCAGAAGGCAAGATGAGCATCCACAGCATAAACACTGAAACGTACCGTTGACTCAAAGATGGTGACACAGAGAAGAATTGAACCATTTGAACAACGGGGAAGAGAAGCTTGCTACTTTTGTCTCGGCTAATACCTGCCGAGGAAAGCGCAGCATCAATGCAAGCGTGACCGGCAAACCGTGTCAAAGCCCCACTCCTCAAACGGTGGATATCCTGGACAAAGTAAGCATGCATAATCAGTCCAACAGCCATGGCCTCCTCAGCCTCTCTGCTTTGACAGTAAGGGTCACAACGAAGGTGACCAATCGGGCTTCTGGGATCAAGCGCCTTACAAAGTATCCTCACTTTTGATTGAAATTCCTGGATCTCCCCCAACTGCTGCTTGATCTCAGTGAGTGTAGACAGCACCGCTTGCGCTTCGTTTGGATCATCCCACAGGTCCTCCTGGGAAGTCCGCACTTCCAGGTCTGCCAGCTTTGCCTCCTGGCCTTTCATGTCAACGCCGGAAGTGGCCGCTGTCAACCGCTCTGCGGCCTCCTCGACCTGGCGCCTCAACATGTAGAAATCTACGAAAGGGGTGCAGAGAAGAAGTTGAAGCAGGGCAGTGATGAAGCCGTTTCGACACGGTCTAAACTAAAACAACTTCTGTCTCCACAAGTTTCCGTCGCTGAAATGGAAAATCCGTCATGGGAGTGGCGCTAAAGGGCACATGCAGCAGCAGTGTATGCTCTTTATATGGGGGCCTTTTCAGAAATGTAACATGGCGCCCCGACAAGCGCAACTTTTGAGCAGAAAAGATGCAAGTAGTATTGAAGGCTGGACATGCCCTTTTTGAGAAAGGCTCGTTCCACAATGACAGATTGGGGACCAAATCAGAGCTTACAATTCACACAAAGTGCCAGAGTAATGTTACATTTGAAACTGCGTAAGAGTCATCAGAGATCATTGATTGCTCAGCGATTCATTAGGAGGAACTCTTCTTGTAATTCAGGATTCACCAATGCAAACCACTTCCTCATCAGATCAGCATACCAGCAGCTGCAATGAAAACAATGACCACCAGTACTCAATGACAACGACCACCAGTTGTCATTGAGTACTGGTGGCCCTTTACAAAGACCGATGCATCAGTT